AAAAGACCCTGGCTGTTGGGGAAACCAAATTCTCCCTTGGAAAATTGATGGGAGTTTTACCACAGAGCTTACCAGACCCATGATTTCATGCTAGAAGTTACACCCTAAAAATACAGGTTTGGGAAAACATTACAGACCATGTTTCAAGAATGCTGTCCTTAGCAAGGATGGGGCATATGACTGCAGAAAGTTGTCATGCAGAACTTCATGCTTTGAGGAGAAATGGAAATAATCAGCCATTGAAAAAAATCAGCAGAGGTGGATTTCCCAGCATTGGACACTTTAAGATTCAGCTGGGCAGGGTGCTGGGCCATCTTGTCTAGACTGCATTTTTGCAAAAAAAGGTTGGACCAAATGATCCTTGAAGTCCCTTTCAAGCTGGTATTCTGCAATTCTATGACTACAATTTTAAAAATGGAAAGCCCATAGGGATATTAATGATCTCAGTACTCTCTAGTCACCTTTTATTTGTAAATATGACCAAATCCACATTACAGAATCACAGAATGCACTGAGTTGGAAAGGACTCACAAGGATCAGAGTCCAACTCCTGGCCCTGCAAGGGACCATCCACCAAACTGTAGCTTTCTCTCAATCTTGATGACAAAGGCTGTGCTCCATATGTCTCTGGGCCAATGTACTCACACATCCCCCTCTGGAAAGGCAGGGGAGGTCCTGCAGGTGCAGATGAGCTTGCAAAGCACCAGGGTCAAGAAAGGTGTCCCTGACCTTGGTTCTAACTAGATGATCTTTAAGGGTCCCTTCCAACCCAGCTAATTCCAGAAGTCAAAGATTCAGGCACAGCCAGGTTGGCTGCTGCTGCAATGCCCTACCCACAGCAGTGCCAACATGACTCTGGCTGTAAAACCCACCCAGCTACCTCATTCCCACTGCTTCCACTGGGAGGTGCAGGCACAAATACCTTGCAGGCTGGGGCTCTTACAGGCAAACCAGGAGCTGGATTTAGCCACTGGGTTTGTTAAGTCCCAGCATGTAAGAATTTTCTTCAATCAGGATGTAAATAACAGCCTGATTTCACAATTCAAAGAAAACACGATTTTAAAGCAAAATTATTATTTTTACTGACAGCAATACAAATAGAGAAGTTCGCACATGAGCTAGAAGACAAATCAAATATTTTTCAAGTGATTCCTGCACTGTAATTTTTTTCCTCTTACATTAAATGGACCTGCAGATATACCTCATTGCTTAATTTTATAGGTGGACCTTTGTGCTATTTCAAACATTGATTGCAAGTTATCTGTACATGAAGACCTAACATTACTATTCTCTGTAGGAAATACCTGATGATGGGAATAGAGGTCAGATCTGCAGGGGTTTGGAGCAAACTGCTCTGTTCAATCAAACCTCCATGTCTCAATGCATCAGTTTATCTTTTGTATAGACCATGCAAGTTAGAGAAAAAAAATCTCTTAAAGAAATGCTTGAAGAATATTTCACTGCACTTATATTTGTGCGTCATTTCCATCTTCCAAGTGAAAATCTAACTACTACACATGAGGAGGGAAAAAACTGAAACTAATCAATGTGGTAACCACCTCCACCAATGCGTGTAAATAGGTTTTCTAGGACAAGAAATGTCACACTTTTGTGTCTAATGACTTAGGCAACCTCACAAGCTAAGTATATAATTTGATTCCAATAAGAAACTCTCCAAGACATAAAATTCTCATTACCATCCTTGCAGGGCTCTGAGCCATTGCACTTCCACAACGTGGCATTTCTATATATTGACAAGGTGTCACTGGCATTGAGTGCATCACCCCACTGGGCTTCAGGCAGGAAGAAACAGGTAATGGAAATGGGAAAATGCATCTTGGAAGGTGAAAGCAGAGATGCCTACTTCACTTAGTGATTCCTGTAGAATCAGCTCAGCAGTTTGTGTTGCCATGAATAAGGGATAGATCTCCTGCACAGTGGTACACTCAAACTGAGTTTGAACCGCTCAGGGAAGGGGCTGAGAAGCTGCCACCTTGGACTTAGACTACCTAATTTTCGATTGTCACTATACCAGGAACCTATTAATCAGTCAGTCCCAGTAAATGAATGACAAATCTTAAACATGCAACAAATGAGATATACATACATACATATATCTGTATCTATTTTTTACAAAACTGACCTACAAGGATGATGGCAGACACACAACATGCAAGCATATGCAGTTATTTTTACCTTGGCATGATTATAAATATCCACGCAGTTTTCTGTATTAATGCTTTTTGCACAAATGATCTCACAGTGTCGTTGTAAAGCTTCAAGCTGGAAAAATTTAGCAGCAGAGAGAAGCTAAAAAAAAAAACAAAAGGCATGGAAAAAATAGTCAAAAACTGCTGAGCGATACAGAATCAGAGCTTGCTTCTTTACTGTTTCATTATATGTTTTTCTCTGTCCCTTCTTCAGTTAGCATGAAAGTACTGACAAAAAAGTCAGAATGAGAAGATTTCTTGGTTGTTTTAACCCTCTGCAGTCCCATCTAAATCACACAGTGGGAATCTCTACACAGAGAGAACACCAAAGGCTGCTCAGGTCCACATGTTGACTTTGGAATGGGACAAGGAGAAAAAGGAAAGAGCGGCTTGAAGAATATTCTGTCACTTTGCAAACACGACTCTGCAATAAGGGACCTGCAAATACATCCCCAGACCCCAAAGTTCCGGTTAAACTTCATCTGTTCCCCAAGATCTTATTGAAACAGAGCACCTGGACTGGATGTTGGGAAGTCAGCAGAAAGATGAGGATCAAGTGTGTAGAGGAAGTCAAACCAAACAATGATGACCATCCTGGGCAGTCTTAATCTAGAGAGACAATAAACCTCAAATCTGCTACCTCAGCAGGCTCAAGGGAACAGAATCAGATCTCCATATGCTCCTTGTCCTAGCCTGTGAGCAGCTGTAAGGGGATATCCAGGCCAGAAGCACTGTCTGCAGACCATGTTGCTCCAAGGAAAGAGTGCAGAAAGCTGGGAACCAGCTTTGTGAGGCAATGCCTAGCTACCATTCATGTGGGTGTCACACGTCTGTCACCACTCTGCCACAGCTCTCCTGACACCAGCACTGACCTCCCTCTTTGGCCCTGCATCCCCACCGTGGCTGTACTGCCTACCCTGGCACTGCCTTGGCATCTCTGCATGCCTGTGAGGTGAAAATGGCTTGAATTTTGAGTTCTCCAACTGATTTCTGCAGTGTTAAGATTTCCTCTGATGCCCTTTTTCTGTCCTTTTACAGCAGGGAAAAGTAATTTCATTTTCTGTCTTTCGATGGTAGGTTATGTCTCTGGCTCTCTGCTCTGCCTTAGAAAGCAGGTTGGAGTTCTTCATTGCTTGACACCTTGCTGTAACCCAGCCAGACCTTAGGCTGAGCTGTTCACGTATTTAAATAGCACTTACTCAGGTATTCAGGCTTTTACACAGCCCTTATTATTTGGGACTCATAACAAAAAGCTAACCTGTGCATCCCAAAGGGGCTCTTATGCTGCACTGGGGAAGAAACAAAACCATAAAACTTCCATGACATTATTCTGACTTCTCCTATGCAGTCTGCTCAAGATCTACTTTAATCCCATAAATAAATCCAAGTGCTGAAAATCTACAGTGCTGATGTGATAGCAGCCAGCTGGCCCCAATTATGAATTGCAGCAAAGATTTCTGTGGAGTATTTCTGGTGCTTCTTGTTATCATATTTGTAATAAGGCAAGTTACTAAATGCAGTTTTGAAAGATAAAGCCAAATCCTATTCCAGCTGCCTCTGTGGCTCAAGCAGTCATGTGCTGGTTTGTAATTACTTTAAGCTGTGAGGAACCATGGCCAGATCTGTTATCAAGAGATCAATCAATCAGTCATACATTCTGGAGTCCCAGAAGTTTTGAGATGTCACAAAAGTAGAGCAAGCTGCCAGCTGAAATGCAGCACAAGCTTTTTAACAGCCTAGGTGATAACACACACATCTCTATAAAGTCACTGCACTGCCTAGTCTAAGATTCTCTTTTTCAGAAAAGGTTAGAAATTCAGGAGGTCTTTCAAAACTCTGAGTGAAATAGAGAATTAGTGAACTTTTCCTATATAGCTCCTATATATATCCACAGTCAATGTGGACATGCTTACTTAAAAATCCACTACTTCCACTAGAGAGGGGCAATTTCAGTCCTGACCAGTTCCATCCTCTGGCTGTCAGACTGTAGTGTTACAGGGACAGAACAATACAGGCAACAGTGGAACAGTGACAGGACACTAGGAAATGGAAAGTAGCTGCACCAGGGGAAGTGCAAATTGGCCATAAGGAACAGGCTCTCCACTGAGAGGGTGGTCAGCCACTGAACAGGTTCCCCAGGGAAGTGCTCATGGCACCAAGCCTGCCTGAGTTCAAGGCACATCTGCATGACACTCTGAGTGATGTGGTTTAGCTTTACACAGCCCTGCAAGGAGCAGGGAGTTGGACTTGATGATCCTTATGGGTCTCTTCCAGCTTGAGATATTTTATGACCCTGTGATGGTGGTGGCAGACACTGATGGTTACCAGCTGTTTAAGTAGCTCTGAATTCAGTATTTACTGACCTGCATTCTTTTTGGCTGCTTGAAAACTCCCTGAATGACTATCAAGAATTTGCTCAAACACCTCTTAGTTCTGTATATCTGGAGTGGTTTTGCTGATCATAGCTGACTGTGATAGCACACAGTATTTGGAAGGGAATGACTCAATGTCCCTACGGTTGTGGTTGCATGGCTACACTGAAGGTTCAGTCAGCTCTAACTGGCTTTGGTTTGGCTTTTGCAAAAGGCCACCACAGCACCTGGACGTTTTATATCCAGTGAGAAAGGGGCAAAGAAGTCTCTGTATCTCAGAGAGTAGATTATGGCTATATTAATAAAATTTGAGAATCACATGCTTGAAATTGAACTGAACTGTGTCTCCAGTGGACTTCTCTCATGGTTAAAGCCCAGCACATGCCCAAGACTTCTCCCATGTGAGGAACCAAATTGGATGTTTTTAATGCTGCTGAGATAGGGAGGATGGAACACTGAGTTGCTGGAAATTGGTTCCAGACTTTGGTAACACCAGCTTTGCCTCTAAGGAGGTATTTGCAAAGTCTCCCAGTCTCCTGCAGAACTGCAGAGAGCCTGGGCACTTCAGGTGAAGCACTGCTGGCTCTTACAGGAGTGCTCAGGTCTTGCCCAATGGCCATGCGCCCTCAGGTGAATGGTACACAGATCAGTCAGTATCGCTCCCACTGCAATTAAATAAATGTCTCTTACCTCCATAATTTCATTATTTTTAATCAGGAGTGACTCTGCACCTCCATAATAAAGATACTGCATAACCAGCTGTAATAAAAGAAAGGGAGTGTTTATAAAAAACAATCCAAGACATAGAGGAACAGGGGACAACACAGGCAATTCCCAAGGCTCTCCTAACACCACCACGGATCTGTAGGTAAAAATGGCTCAAGCCTCCTGATTCTCTCTCTCTCTGCAAAGCTCAGTGTTTCCTTCTCACAGGCTGTCTAATGTCTCAACCCTCACCCTCAAATTGTCTGGACTTCCTGCTGAGCTCCAAACACTTTGCAGGAAACTGATTAATTAATTTTGAATTTTCAGTGTATTTCCCAGTCTGTGAAGTACATCACTGATACAGACAAACCCAGCATATATAATAGTTATTCCCTTATTCCTTTCCTGGCAAAGGCCACCTTCATCCAGCTGTGTGTGGGCACTCATGGATGATAAGAAAGAGGTGGAGGAGGCTTTGCACTGTAACACAATCCAGCTAAGATCCCTCTGTGGGGAGCACAGTTATTGTAGGCAGCTGGGAATTATGCACAGCGGGAACGGTCGATACATGGAGCTCCAGCTCAAAGCAAGGGAAGCATATCCATGTACATGCTACAGGTACAGAGAGCAAGCTCTGCCTTTTCATGGCAAAGAAACTGATTGGAGAGCACTGCTATGGAAGGGAGTGAAGCGTTTCTCTTCCAAACCTGTCCATTAAATACAACTAGAGAAAGAAGTGCCTTCTTATGCTGACAGGCAGCACGCTGTGTGGACAGCCCATGTCAGTGAAATGCATGTTGCTGCACCTGCTGGGGCACATTGCAATCAATAGCACTCTGCAGTGCTCGAACTGCAGAGATAAAGCCTGTGCTTGTGAAACCGCTGCTCTGCTCTATCACATACATAGGTACTAATTTGGACAGAGCATGCGTGGTGTTCCTCTTACAAGTTCCACTCAAATTCAGCGTGAGGACCGTACCTGAAAGATGGGGTACTTCACATAGTTGATCTCAATACAAGTACTATCAGATGAGGGCTTGCTAGACAGCAGTGCTTTAAACCTAAATAAAAAGGAGAAAAACTGAAATACCAGCCCAAATATCTCTGTGGAAAAATGCAGTAAAAACACTATAGAAGTGCAGTGGAATGACAGCATCAACTCTTGCAAAAACAGTATACTGAAATTAACGTATTTGTTGCTGAAAATCATCAAGATTTAGACACTAACATGAAGTTCAAACCAAAAGGAAGAAGGCTCTCTCTAGAAGATTTCAATTTGAAATTTTTGAAAAATGCATCTAATGTAACAATGGAATAAAATGTACATCCAAAATTCAGATTCTGTAATGACGCATATTACAGAACCAAAATCTTTTCTTGAAGGCAACATGATCTTTTATGAAGATTTGCAACATTTAAAACCTGAATGTTTTCCTTTTTTGAAGGTGATACATTTTGGCTTATGTCCATTATGCTGGTTTAAGAAATGTTTTGGAACAAAATATTAAAAAAACTGCACTAAGACTTTTAATGCTCCTATGCACACTCAGGGTAATTGTGCAAGAAGAGGCAGGAGAGAAAACTGGATAGGTTGCTGCTCTCTGATTATCAAAACCTGAAATTCAGATACAACATTCAGGACAAAAAACCCTGCATATTTTTAGTTAATAATTGCAGACTTATGTGAGATATATACATATGTAACAATCTACTTCTCAAAACCAGGTATTCCTATTGATCAGAAGGTGAAAATGGGAAATGTGCTGACAGAAACTCCTGCCCTTGTACTTCCTCTCTTTGATAATTCATCTGACGTCCCAGCAGTATTCAAAGCTCGGCTTATCTATCAAGACCATCCATTCACTGGATGGTAATCTTTTCCATATCATGACTGCATCTTGTTAATTGAAATACAGGTAACAATTTATTTGCTTTCACTATTGCCAAACTCTACTATGAACACAATTTAGTAGGCTTAAAGCTGCAGTTTGGAACATATTCGTACATCTACCAAGAGGCTCTAAACCCCAATATCCATTTCTTAATGGGAGGCAGGGTCAGGAACTGCAGCTACTTTATGCAAATCTCTTTACTCTGTGCTGTGGGTTGGCAGCACAACTATAGCACCAATTCCCATATTGCTTAAACTATCCAAACCCAGTGCTGTGTCCTTGCTACATCTTGAAATAAACTGTTATGGAGGGCCAGCAAGACTTGTTTAAAAGCACACCTTGAATTATACAGCTGCATACAAATAACATTTGTGAGCAGATCTTGGATTGGGTTGAGCTGTGTAGCCCACATTCAGCCTTCTGAGCACAGGAAACAGACTATAAATATTGCCTTTGGATACAGTATGGTATGCTTCATAGCTATTTAATTTTATTTAGAAGTTGTCAAATGCTGTCAATTAATTGTGTGATAGTAGGTTGTTTTCCCTGGAGAGTGCAGAAACTGATGCAAGGCAGGATTTAACCACCCACAAGATAAATTATTAAGAATCAAAATATCACAACTCCTGTATGGTTGAGAACTGGGTGCAGTGACAAGCACCACACCAATGTGCCTCAGTGGAATGATGTCAGATACATGGCCAGAAGCATGGATCATTCACTGGATGAAAATCTATTGACAAGAGCACTTGTTAAATGTCTGGCAGATCAACCAGAAACAAGCTGTGGGGATGTTCTGATTAAGAAAAACTGGGAAGATTGGGCCACTAGCCCTCAAAAAAACTGGAACAGCAAAACAAACAAAAAATCCCCACAAATCCATAAAATCAAATTCTATTTTTATTAAAAACCAGAGATTCCTATTTTACCTTGGTGATGCAGTAAATAGCAACACTCGATGTGCATAAAATGGTCTTCCTTCCACCAGAAATGTGACATCTGACATCTCTTTATTGTTAAGAAAATGGGGATCTAGAATCACAAAAAGAAGGAAACAAAAAAGCCAATAACTTTAATTTGGAAGAGGTCAGGAATGTACTGAATATTTCCCTGTTTTGACATAAGAAAGCAACAGAATAGAAGGATACTGTTCTTAGTCAGTAAAGCCCATAAAGCTATTTTGGACAGCCTGAGACAACCACATGGAGATGAGACAAAGGGAATTCAAAGCAGTGAAGTCTGTGATGACCTTTGCTGAAATGACAGTCAGCCATCCCCGCCGTGTGATGCTGGCACAGCCTCCCAGCTCTGACACCCAGAGCAAACCGCCGTTCCGCAGATGCTGGGAGCCCTACACTCATTTATGCTCTATTAGGCCACTCTCCCTGTGTGAGGAAGTCTCTGTCAAGAGGAAGAGGGTCCTGGAAAATTGCTTGTGTGTTCTCTCAGTCCCCTGAAAGCAGCCTGGGCTCTGCTGACCAAGCTGGGAGGTGCAGCATCATCTGCAGCAAGCCAGGGTGGTACGGCTTGGATCCCAGCCTAATTAGCAACACAGACAAATCTTTGCAGATTTACGGCCCCGCTCTAGCGCACCTGATGACCCTCCTGATGTCAGCAGAAGTTTTAGGTCAGGCTAAGTCTGGGGCCCTTCCTTCTTCTAATTCTGTCTTTTAAACTGAGATTTTTCTGACTTGTGGCCCCCTCGAGCACCTGGCCAGCTGCAGCCTTCCTACAGCTCTCCCTGGAGAGCCAGGCAGGATCTTCCAGCCACACTTACCCAGGCGGGAGGTCTGCTTGCGCTTAATTTCCACGAGCTTTGGAATTGGGTAGGGTCCATAGCAATGAGTGAAAATGACAGAGAGCTGCTGGCTGATCACCTCGTTCTAGGCAAAAGGAAACAAACATATACAATGTAAGATCAGTATGCAAAGGACATGCTATGTTGTTCTCAACAGCTGCCTGGTTTGAAGGTGAAAAATGTGATTGCTGGAGCTTTATTATAAATAAGAGCTTATGATAATTAGCATTTGTTAGAAACTGTAGTTCTCATTTACTTGATTGCTGTATCTCCTGTACAAATAATTTTAAGCAAAGAAGTCTTCTCCCTGGATGACAAGTCTTCTTTGTCTAAAATATTCCATAGCCCAGTCCCCGCCGCAAAAACTAAGTTCCTTTACAACAGTGATTTCATTTTATTTGCAGACTTACTGTACTGGAAAATGACTTTTTTTTTTTTCTCTTTAGAAAATGGTCACTGGTCACATCTTAGAAAACCCGAGCTACAGACAGATGCAGCTGCACACGTTTTTAAGTACAGCAGTCTCACAAACAGACCCTTCCCCTAGAGAGCGACTGAGGCACCAGAGCCAGCCACTCATTTAATCCCAAATGCTTCATTAACGTGCTCTTATACCTCTGGCACCAGTGTGGGCACTGCTGCGCTGTGGAAGCCACCAGACCCTCATAAAACCAGGTCTGGTCCCTGGCCTTACCCCTTTCTGCCCCAACTCTGGGGGCAAGGCACCCACAGGATGCTTTCCTAAGCACCTTGAGTATTTGTATGCCTAAGATGCAAAGGTAGTGAAATGGATTTAATGCCTAACTACCTAAGTCCCAGACAAAAGTGGGATTTAAAAGGCTTGGCAAATTTTATCCCACACTTTGCTGATAACCAGAGCAAGTCTAGACAAGTTCAGTAGGGCCACACTGTTAATTCATGGTAACATCTTTTAATACTCTGTTGACTGGTGAGTCTCTCCACGCTAGGAAACTGTGAAATGGCAAGACACTTAAATGTAAGAGGATCAAAGGCCAAGGAAATGAGCAGATCAGGGACAAAAACCAGTATCATAGTATAAAACTCTGAGGTGTGTAGTTGTTACACTACAAATATCTCCAGGCTTTAGAAGCAGATATCGAAGGTTTCCTTGCTCTGAGCACATTTCAGAAATGCTCCTTAAATCCCATGAGCAACAAAAAGGAGTGGCAGAGATGCTGTAATGACTCTTACTGAATCTAATCAAACAGGGTGGGAAGGGGTAGAGCTGTTCCCTCACAGGCACATGCTGATGTCAAAGGAAATTACACGCACTCACCCGCAGGCAGGAGCTGGCTCCTATTACTACGTCAGATGTAGCACTGAAAGAAACACTGAGATAAGAGAAACTCTCCTACTGAGAGACCCCATTTAGCAGGCACAGGGCCCAGCCCTCAGAGAGGGGTTCACTGCTGTGGCTCCGAGACAAGGAGGGCGGCTCACCCCAGGAGCATCTCACTGTTCAGCATCCTCCCGCCAGAGCTCTGCAAAGGGAGCGAACCACGGGCTAAAGAGAAAAGGAAGATTTAAGGCCAGATTTAAAGAAGGAAGTGACTCAGCTGCTGGGAGGGCTGGGAGGGGAAGCTTTAGACAGAGCAGAAAGAGCAATTTCTTCTCTGCTCAGAAGGGCAGTGCCAAAGCGGCAGGGCTGACTGAGTCAGCCAGGGAGGAGCGCGTCCGGGGGGATGCTGACTACCAGCAGGCAGCTCCTGGTTGGATCTGGCAGATGCTGGAAGTCAGAAAATACAAGGGAAGATGGAGACAATTCCATGGTTAGAGCAGAGGGAAGCCTCTGGAGAGAAGAAACAATGCTCACCTTTACCTGCAACGTATAAAAGCGAAGTGCACTGAGGAGGAGAGCTCCTGGAAGCCCCCTCCCCAGTCTGCTGTGGTGCATGGGTCCTGTCTCTGTCACTGAGGTTTTAGTGGCTTCCATGAACTCACCAGTCCCAGTCACAGCTGTGCCTACGCAATGGCTTGTTAAAAACACACACACGCATCAACAGACAATGAATCTCCTCCTTCCAGGGTGTCTGTGGGAACGTGCTGGTGGAAAAGCTGCGTGTTGGCTTCCCAGTGCCTTGTTGGGAGCTGGAGGCCCAACTCACCAGACCAAACCACAGCACCATGGACCAGGAGGACATCCAGCTGCACTGAAACCAGGGAAGGACAGGCCAAACTCAGCCACCAAAGTGCAAAAAGGAGATCCCTACTAGTAAATCCAACCAAAGAACCAGTTGTGCCTGCAGACAATCCCATGGGAGCCTGCCTACACTGCCAACTGCCAGCTCCCTAGGTCATCAACTCTGTGGTGTGCAGATACAAGCCCATTAAAAAAACACTTTGCCCATGTTATGGGCCCACAAGTTTGTGAAAAAAATGGTGTAAACTAAGCTCTAATTAGCTCAAAATGTGATACATTCACATGAGAGATGCTTAAAAAGCCCCAAGACATGGAACAGAGATGGGACAAAGAGAAAAGAGATCTTAGGATGGACACATCAAAGAAAGAAGGACCATCAGACAGTGGCTTCAGACTTCCAATGCAGAACACTGACCTCATTTGGCAGAGAGGAGGCTGGAGACCTTTGGCTTCTATTGATAACATTAAATACTTACGTCTCATGCCATCCAAAGGCCAAAAACTGTGTTCAGCAAGAAAGCTGAAGCATGTGCTTGTCTAGAGTCATTGCTAACAAACAGCAGCAAGGGATTGGTAAATTATTACAGCACACCAAGTTTGCTTCCCACACCCCCAGTACATAGCCAAGCTCACAGGGCAGTGGCCCTGGATCTACTCCCCACAGTGCCTCTGCTGACTTTTACCAATAAGCCAGGCAGAAACAGGAGAAGAAAAAAGGGTGCTTTATCTTTAACTGGATGGCTGGGGGAAAAAATTGGCTTTTTTTAAGCCAAATCCTGCTCTTGGAGGGCTTGGGCTTCCTGTTAAGTAACTGGAACAACTGCAGAAGTCCATGGGGTGCAAGCATTGCTCTGGAAGACAGGAGGACACATTCAGCCTATTCAAGCTTCACCTTCACACAGTGCACACACTGAGGTGCTCAGAAGCTCCCATTTAAGCACCAAGATGGATAATTCTTCCCTGTTTATCCTTTCATCCTTTCAGCCTAACTGTGAGAGCCCAGCTGTAAGAGCTCACTGCAGCAGTTGTGGGTGGCAAGATTAACACTGGAGGAGCAAATCAAAGTTTGTTTTCTTGCTACAGTTTGATGTTGGAAAACATTGTGCCAGGATGTGTGAGGCTGACACCTGGAGCGAGGCCAGCCTCCTTTTAGACACGGGCGTTCATTTGCACTCAAAGGGAGCCGACGCACATCTTCTTCTGTGGGAGGGGGAAGAAAGCTTGGCACAGCATATAATAAAAATATTTACCTAGCCATGGGGTAGTTTACAGATAGGCAAGAGGGAACAGGGAACAACAGCAAGTCTTCTGGAGGGAGATGGTGCTTCCAGCAGAGAGCTGGTTGGTGAGCAAGCAACTTTGCTTTGTAGATACAAGTGGTCCCCTGACTTAAAAGCGTTCTTCAGCAGAGATCTAAAGGAATTCCCCAGTCCTGCTGAATGCACTTGGACTCTGAAGGGAATTCATAAATTCTTTTGAAGCAAAGCTGGAGGCTTTCAAGTTGTTGGACCAGAGATGCCTCATCGATTGATCTGAGAAGAGGTTAAGATCCGGGTGGGAAGTGCAGGGATATTTTTTCCTGACTGTCCATCTGACAAAGGTCTGTGGCAGGATTCAGGGAAGTCTCCTCCAGGCTCCAGCGCATACCCTGGGAGAGCTTGCTCCATTCCAGGTTACACAGATCAATGCAGCACAGCCATTCTGGGATGTGTTCCTACAAGGTACTGGACACAACTGGGAAATACATAGCCAATATTCTCCAGTACCTGTGCAAGACACATGTCTATGCCCCAAACTCTGCAGGGTAAAATGTGTGTTGTAGACTGCTCAAACCCCACTGCTTAGTTCTTTCCAGTCTACAGACACCCTGCCACCTCCACATGGCTGCCCTCTATAGTGGTAACAAGTCAGGCTTCTTTTCTTCACCTCTGAAATCCCAAGCAGTAGTTTGGGGTTTTCTTCTGCTGATGCTATCCTCACCAGCTCAGCTCCATTAACGTTGTTTTACCCAAAGTCTGCCAGGTCCCCAAATTCCTCTACTACATAGCCCAAAAACCAGAAGTCCACCACATTAAGGCAGAAAAAGCAACGCTTATTCCTCTGGGCTTGGTGTCTTTGTGTTAATATACATCTCCCCAGCAAACTGAGAAACCACACTGCTCAGAGAACGGGGCACTGACAAAGATATCTTCTCTCTCTGGTCCTGAGGATGCTCTGGGGACCCATTTCTCTGTTAAATGCAGAGTGGCAGAAGTGCTGTTTCCAGTCACCAATCTCACATGCAGTCCCCAGCTTCTGTTCCAGCAGTGGCAGCCTCAGGATACCCCAATCCCATTGAGGACTCGTCCATGACATGCTGGAATACGCCTGAATTAGTCCTCTATTTATGCTCCCCTTTCCCAGAAAAAGATGATATAGAGTGAAGTAACAGAGAGGGGTTTCTGCTGTCCCCCATCCCTGAACACTCAAACTCTGAGACCTTCTTTGCCGTCTCAGAACTGTCTCCACCTTTGCACAGGTGTCCTGCTACTGTCCTCTTGCATAATTCCCTTTCACCAAATGCCTCAAAACTAAATAAATGCCACTTCAGATGGTCACCTAGATGGTAAAGCAGCATACACATAATTAATATTAGTCAACAACTGGAAAGGGAGGGAAGCCCCAGAGGTTGGAGCTACAGTTAGAGGCAGTGAACTGCGCAACAAAATGGGTTTTGTTAGTGCTGGGCTCAAGCCCCTCCACTGCAAGCACAAATGGAAAAGAATTAATCACAGGTACGGCCCAAATGGACCCTTCCGTTGCTTCTGGGAAAGCCGCCAAGCCTCCTTTTCAAAAGGCTCTTTATATCACAGCTGTGCATTGTATGTAGAAAGCTCAGATCCACGGGCACAGTCCAATCCCTGGGTGAGAGCCCAGAAAAGGGC